ACGACGCTAAACCCCAACCTCAAATTTTAAACCTTAAATAAAGCCTCTTAACCAACACCACACCCTCCAATTTTGAACTTTAAATGAGGCCTCTTAACCAAAACCACACCCTTAACCACACTGCATTCTTAAACCTAATCCAAAGCAGCAGGGGAGATACCAAGGAAATGACATGTCCGTTCCCTTCTGCTATGGGTGTGACGTCAATTAAAAGCTTAATTTAGGAATTCGTTATATAATGTCACTTATAAATGCCTTGAAACGTTACAAGTAAGAGGTTATTAATAAAGCTATTAAGTAAATTGAAATTTCGCCGGTATTTAATAAATGCTGATGTTTAATAACTTATTAACTGCCATCTTTAGCTCTGGCAGAGATTAGATGGTGATTTTGTGATTCATTTCACGAACCTCTGAAGTTCTAAAGAACTCTCCGAAAGTTTTAAAGCAAGAAACATCATAGTGAGGTTCAATATGTTGAGCTCTGAAAATCACAGTAGAGATGTAAATGGCCGGATCGGATGTGGTCACGAAGAAGCGGGAAATGCCACGATCTTTACTAATTACAGTAAACGTGTCTGAACACAACTGAACATTCCGGAGTCGTTAGCTGGCACAGCTACACAGCGGTATTAAAGCGGAGGAGGAGTAGCTGGCAACTCAATACAACTAATTAGTGATTATTAGCCATTATGGACCACTACCAAAAGCTTTAATTAGAAGTGAGATCAGAGCCAAAAGCGGAATTTATCAAGCAATTATGCAAATAAGGTGAGTAATAAGTAGGGTTCAAATAACGGAAAGGGGGTAATTAGAAGGGGTAACAATGATTGAGACATAATCCGGTTTAATAACCCAGCTTAACTTAATTTTAGAGCTGATTAGTATCAGTAAGTGAAGCTGCTTGACTTGGCAGTGTGTCAATCTAACTGCTTCTTAATCTTATGTCCTGACTAGATTTTGGCACGGTCGTTGGTCACGGTAGTGTAACGATAATTCTTTAACACTCTTGACGCACATCCGTCAGAATTTCTGATGGTTTCTGTTTAGACTCAGTAAGCAAAAAGAACATTCTTTTGAACATTGTTCTTGCTGACTCTAACCAGAAACCAACCAGAAACTTTTAAACGAAATAAGCATTTAATACACCGACAAAATAAAATTGAACGTCAAGATAATAAAACCTGTATGTGATTATCACCACAAGAGCTAACAACAATAATTGTTGTAACATTGGTATTCAGTAACGATAGGGTAGATCATTGATCAAATATTCCAGGTTGCTCTGAATTATCTACATGTAATTAACTGCGGGCACGTTATACTGTCAGATCTACAAGCTGTATATCGCCAATAACTTGGCTGTAAGAGAGATCTACATAACACCGTTACTAGCACCCCACAGTAAGTGGTGCCCAACCGTTAGTGGTGCCCCAGGTAGTAATTATAGAGCTAACACTTGATAATTTAGTCTTAGTTAAAGTTATTAAACATATTATCAACTAATTCAACTCGCATGGTGGGCTAGTAAGTTGGCTTATATTACTATATTAGTCGTGATCTTAGACAAATTGAAAAATTGTAGTTATATGAGGGCAGCAGGTGGAAGTTATTAATAGTCTATAACGTTAGAAACTGAAAGTTATACATTATTATATACGCTCATTTAACTGAGCTTGAAAAGCAAAATAGAGAGACTGAACTCTCTATTAACATAACTATAATATATTGGAGCTATTTTCAGCAATATATAAAGGGCTAACATTCTAGAACGTTCTATACTACATCCTGAATATGCGCGGTGCCCTTAAAGAGCCTTATTAATGTACCTTGCATCTAACTGTGAGCTGAGTAAGAAAGTCCAATCAATATTCGTAAAAACGAACCTTGAATATTACAGTATGTGGTGGGCATTTAGTATTTACAAGACTGCAACCGGTTATTTGAGCTAATACAATCTAAAACGGGAGCGTGTCTGTCACCTTTGAGAGCAGCACCTTGCTCTGAAAGAGTGGTTTTGGAGATATTACGTTAGAAAACCTTTTAAATAGGGGGTAAGAAGTGACAAGAGTAACGTTTAACCAGAGAAATGGGGGAGAGAGGCCGAGGGGAGTATTATTAGTTGTCTGGGGTATGTTATTAGTCTATATACAACCAGTCAGCAACAAGTATAAGAGTTCTTGCTTTAATATCTAACAAATATTGCTGAAGAAGCTCCTGTAATATTAAAATCTAGCAAGTATTGGGTTGGAACAATTCCCACAGACCGCCTACATATTGACATCAAGCTACCTGTTCAATAGATCAGATCTTCAGATAGATGCTGCAACAACGTCAACCAAGCTATTCTATGGAACTAAAGCATGAAATAAGTCTTTACGCTAAGTGGCCAGTAAAACGATCTAATGGTCTGTGATGTGAGGATTTATTACCGGTCATACTTGGGCTCAGCTCCCCACCTCGTACAATATCTGGTGCTAATATAGTCAACTTAGCTATGTTATAAACGTCTGTCAAGATCATTTGAGAGGAAGCGACGAGTCAGAATATATAAATTAACGGTCGATCTCGCAAGGATGGGATTGTTATCTCCGTAATACAAGCTGCACTGCATAGCTGCATGTAAGAATGGTAAACATATCAAAAGAAAGTGGTGGTATCATGTCTAAGCCTTAGACATGCAAGCAGGCGACATGGTACAGCCGTCAACAATCTGAAAGCGTAATGATCTGGTAGCTCAATCTACTGCTCTAATATTGTAGATAGAATTATGGCTCCTCTTGCAAGAGATTGTAAAATAGATAGAATTATGGCTCCTCTTGCAAGAGATTGTAAATTAGATAGAATTAAAGCTCTCCTTTCACGAGAGATAGATTGAATACGATGGAGTGGTCTCAGAGTGACGGCTGAGACTTGTATCAGGGTTACCACTGGTCACTGCTGAAATATGCTGAAAACAAGTCTGAAATGAGGCTGAAAATATCATTTACACGAGACCGACTGTCGATATGGCTGCCGAGTAATTTTGCTAAGCGAATAGATCAGCAACATGGTGAACTTATGGACATACTAAACGACAAATTGTCCAGAAATGAGTTGTATTGAAATTACAAAGGAAGCTATGGTGCCTCGACCAACGCAGCGCACGAGGCAGGGCAGCTTTATTGCTCTAAATACCCACTTAACCTGTCATATATTAATAAAATAACCTTATATATTATATAACTTAATAAAATAACTTAATCTACAGCCCTATCATTATTCAGGGTTGGATTGGTCTGAGATAGTGGAGACCGTTGTAATTTCTAGCTCTGAAATAAAGTGGCGGTAACAAAGTAAGCTGACAAATTTGAAAGAGTTCTGAAGCAGAACGAGTTCTGTAGTAGAAGGGAATGAGATGGCAGCATGTTACAGGCCTGAATATAGCTCTAACTTGAAGTCGTTACAGAAAGGACAAAAGGTGCTAAATAGGTTATGTTCCTATTGTTCAAATCGATGCATATTCTTGGTAACTTCACCAGTAATTCCGTAGTCAGCTCTAGCTGCTAACTTTGTTACAGAAAGACACTACACAAGATATGTTCCTATTGTCCAAATCAAAGCAATATCGGTAACTTCACTACTAATTCCACGTTTGAACAGCTGGTGGAGAACAGTTGGCTACGGATGAACGCGCGCGCCTGATAATAGTTTACTTTACTGACCATGTCCCAGACCGTATAATCGAGCATTACAAAGGACAGTTACAGGGTCTCATTATAAATTTGGTAAGTATCCAAATAAAGCAGGAGCTGTGAATGGGGGTGTATGTTTGGAGGGTGTAGTAGAGGTGTAGTAGAGGGTGTAGTAAGGGTGTGGTAAGGGTGTAGTAGAGGAATAGCAGTGACCAGCTTTAAAGCACATACCAGAACATCAAACTAAAGCTAAAATAAAGCAATGACTATAATTATAAAGCTAGGGAACACATACAAATGTGTGTGAGAGCTAGCTTGCATATTTTCACGTTCTTAGCTAGGCCCACAATATACAGTCAAGAGACTTGGCAAGGCCCCAGCAAACTAACTTCTTTTATTTCTATTGGTGTAATTCGATGCGATAAGACCGAAAACACGCCCAAACAACAACAGTGAACGCTTCCTTTCCTGTGAATCTCTACTGATAAGTGATAGCCAAGGGAATTGTCGAGAACCACACTATCTTAAGAATGGTATTTCTAAAATTCCAGCTAGGAGTATGTTGATAACCAGATAACGGGATAAGTTGGATAATTCGAGGCCTTGTCACGCCTACTTATTATCTTTACAAATGTTATCCAGAAAGTGCAGCTTCAGAGTTACTACTACGCTCACAAGAACGACAGATCCGACCAAAAGCAGATATAGTCTAGGGCAGCTGGCCAAGTGTCAGGGCTATTTGAGTTCTCTGAAGTGCAGTTCCTGACTGCCCTGGAGGTAACAAGTTACTTATTAATACACCAGCTGACCTACTTAAAATTTGGTTTAATCGGTTAAATTAAAATTCTCTTATTAGATTTCTTCGCGGGTTGACAATTCCCACAATTTTGGGAGTTAACTATTTTAATCGGATCAAGATACCGGGTTATGTGTCTGGGATGGTTTACTCTACAAATCGTCGTTAAATTAAACTATCACAGTCGCAGTCAATGATTTCCCGCTCCTCATAATTTCAGACAACTGCGAATGTTTCCTTCGAAAGCATTTCCTAAAACCGCCGACTTAACGAGGCAGTTCTATAGAATTCTGTTGATCATACCAGTTGGACGAGATCGCTTAACAGTCACTTCTCACCACAACATTACAACTTTCCAGTACAAATAGTAGGCGCCAATCAACATCCGCCCACTATCTAGACACAGCAAATACCACAGAACTACACTGTACAAGTCAAGTAACAGGTTTACAATTAGTTTACTACGAACAGGTTTACTGTTTCAATAAACAGTTTTACAAGACGTGTTATACTACGAACAGGTTTACTCACATAATTTCTTGAGAAGAGCTGGGAGGTTAACCTCGTCAACCGCGGATTTGGAAACCAACAACATATCGTTACAGATAACTTCAAGCAATGCTGGCCAGCTGTGCAATGTACCGATCATAAATATATACCCGCCAAATTTTCGCAAAACTGCACTTAACACTGACCCTTAGCCCGAACGGAGCTCGGAGCTTATTATACTCTCACAATTGCTCGATCATGATCGGGAAAAACGGTGCGACTGTGAGCCAATGAGGGCAGGTTAGCAGCATCGTGTGACCCATAATAAGAAGTCATGTGGTGTGACTAATACAAGGTTGTCCACATGCAGCCCACCGGGCCTCTGAAACCAGGGTGGAAGCTATTTAGCACATTCGAATAAGCACGTGATATGTTGTTGCTGTTAGCAACGTCATTGGTTGCCGTGGGGTCACGTGATCAAATGCACCCGCTCGATTGGTCCGAAAATCGAGCTAGCTGCTTTAAAAGAGTCAAGCTCGACATACGGCTCGCTCATTATATACGCAGGAGACTAAAGTTACCAGGGTACGGCATGTGGTTTTAATCTATCACTGATCACCAGGATTAACCTCGTGATTCCCAAGCTTTGTTACATAATCGATCCTCCCCTTGGAGATTGCCTTGATTTGGTTCAGACGATTATGTGAGCAGCACCATTACAAACCTTCCTACAATTATCTAATTTAGCTTGAAAGACCCTTCTCACCTAGATCATGAATATATGGAGAGAAAGATGTTCATTAACATTAGAAAAGTAACGACCCCGAGGTGCTTCCAGCGACGAAGCAGAGGAAATGTGTCGATCAAACGCGACGATGGTTTAAAAACATAACTCCCAACAATTAAAGTTTGAGAAATGAGAACTATTAAAATGATTTGGCAAGAGCCCAGGCCCATAGCCAGCCCTGAGTAACCGAGATGAATATTAAATATGAACCGATGTCCGATACGTTAGCAATCCACTTTACCTTCAGCAAAATACTTCTAAATTGCTTAACTTTGTTCAATAACAAACAATTCTAAATGCTCAAAATTTACAATCGTATGAAGTTTGTCTGAAACTAATTCGTGTGTAAGGGTCGAATTAGATAAATATGAACTGTTACGCTAGTAATTAAGTTTACCTTCAGCAAACTGCTCCTAAATTGCTTAACTTTATTTAATAACAAACGGTTCTAATACTCCTGATTTACTTGATCATATGAAGTTTGTCTGAACACCAAGAAATTCTGCGTTGGTAGTGGTTAGATCATATAACAGAAGCTTTAAATTCATTGGGTGATTTTGTCTCGGCGAATGGATACCAATCTCCAGAAAACAAGTATTTTATAACTTGCGTTTCTAAGTTTGATGAATTGCTTTTAAGAGCCAAGGGAAATGGTTGCCAGAGAGTTATATTTTGTTAGTAATTTGTACACATGTACTAACAAATGACAAAACAATAAGCATTCTTTGATTCAAGCGATTTGTGAAAGTTGAGAGTTCAAAGAGAGGCTAAGTAAGCGGCTTTATTTTCAGATCCATTACAGTACCTAAAGTTTAAAGGCAGAGAACAAAATTAAACTCTTTAAAGGCCCCCAAATATGATTAAAGCATCATTATATTCTGCTGACAAACAAAAATGTAATTATACAATCTTGAAATGGATCCATGAGCAAATAACAAAGCCTGAATGACTGAATAATATTTCAACAAGCCCTGGAGGCCTCATACAAAACTAAACAACGGGCAGCGTCTAGATCATTACCGTAAATTCATTCTCAGTCTGAATGAATTTCGGTAATTGTTTAACATAACTCAAGAGTTGGAATTGAGCCAAATTCTCCCTCCTGTTCGTATTAGTGTGTGAACTATGATGCGGCACACTCGTTCAATGAGAGCCGACCTCATCCACTTCATCTCATACAAGATTGTTAATTTAAAGTAGACGGTTTGAAAACGTTCAAAACAACGTTCTGGATTGACGCAGGATGAGAAGATTTGATTCGAGCGCCAAAATTCTGCGAAACTATGCCATTATGACTGCTCATTTGCATTGTTCAAGGACGGAGGTACGTAATTAGAAATTAAATGTGCTGTTGAGAGGATTGAGTTTACGAAATTCTACAAGACAATTACAGAGAAGGAATAATTCTATTCGCATATTTAAAACTCGGAGTTGAACATGTAAGAAACGACCGAACATGACTCCGGCCTGCCATACAGCGAGGAAGATACGTCAAGTTCAAGAGAGTTCGAAGCAATTTCGCAATCTTGGTCGGAATGAAGACAGGTATTAATCGAATAGTGACAGATTCCGCTAATTTAATAATTTGTAACCGATATGACGTGTTAAATGGGGGTTAATGAAGTCGACAGGGAATCGGGAAATGTTGTGGTTAAGCGTTTTAGCATACGAGCTAGAGTATAACAGTACTGGCATTGCGTCCGGAGACAAGGTGTGGCCAGAGTAAAGCAGACCAGCCTCAGACATCTTTCATGTTGAATTATTGATAAAATTCACATCTTCGGAACTTTTATTGGCAAAGCTTTGGGCTCGTATCCAAATTAGGAAAACGCGCACATATTGCGCGTTGATCGCGCACCGCGCAACCTCTATCTGTAGAGTACTTTATTTGACTTTGTACCGAAACCTGCTAGTAGTTTGCTAATCTTGAGTTTTTTGTCCCGTTATTGAAGGATAGCAGCATTTGATACGGAACGCACACACGGCGCGCCTTTAGATACCTCTTCCGGAGAAACAAGACCGTTGAATGTTAAGTGTACATGCAGCACTCTATATATACATACACGTGTTTAGTCCTCTAGATTTCATGAGCGATTCTTAATTCCGGTGACTCGCAGTCGGCTAAGAAGATTAGGAACTGAGGCAAAGTTTAATTGTTTTGAAGTTTATCAGGTTGGTCTCTTGGTGGCTGACACCCCAAACCGAGTGTTTTTAAACACATTTTCCGGGTAGTTATCAGTTATGGTTAACTTCCTTTGGTTGTGGATGGTGAAGAATTTAAAACCAGTAGAACTTATCAAGGTACACAGAAGGGTACCGGTACTGCTCCTTTTAATTGAACGAGAAACATTTATAAATACAAATATTTATTATTATTCCGAGCACACAATAGAATACCAACATCAAATTTCTACATAATACTCGACTACACCAGGATAATATTTTCCAGCACCTTCCGTTGCCGTTTAATGGAAATATTCAGGAAATTTCGTGCCTCCAATTCCTCGGAATGTCAAATATTGTCCGGCATGGAATAATGTGGAATATACACTGCATGGTAATGGTGTAATATCGCATTTTAACGAATAGTAAGATTAAACACCACCTAATGCAAATGCATTAAACCAAATATCGAGTACAGGGTCACTCGCTCGCCTGGGGCCCAAGCTGTCAAATCAGGAAAAATGTGGCGCAATTTGTCGCGGTAATGAAATATATGATCCCCGGCCCCAGTAGTACTGGTGTAATTATTCAGAAAGTCGGAAGGGTACCTGTAATGAAGCACATCGACCATTATTTGGGGGCATAATTTTAATAAGTGCAGGCAGGAGGAGGAAATGTTCGGTGTATACATGGTTATTTAATACATGCGGATTAGAAGTTTTATTGAAGTCTTTATCACGACCTGATTTGATTATCTTTATTGGTAAATAGGAGATATTTACAAAAACGATTTAAATTAAAGGGAAAATGCTAGAGTGTAGTAAATCTTGTAGATTGTGTAAATATTGTAAATTTTGTAACCAAAGTGCATTATCTACAAGTTGTCTTGCAGAGAATTACTGAAAAGCTAATAATAAGGATCAAAAAGGTCGATCTTAAGATCAATATCATTTACTCACTGCCACCTCACTCAGCACAATGAATCACGGCATTAATTCCAGAATATTAGCGTGATTATCGTTACTTTAAATAACAAAGCAAATTACCGCCCAGTCCATCGCCACAGCTTTGCACACTTCTGATACTCCCACGGTATAAGCCGGGGTAGGGTATAGATCTCTGTCACTTACTTGATAGGGCGGGGTAGAGTCGAGGGTCGACCCTCTTAAGATCTACCCTCTTGATCCTCCCTACCAAAAATTTCAGACACTACGAAACAAAGCTTCTAGAGTATAATTCCTTAATAGTATAAAAAAGTAACATACAAATTTGTACAGCAGTAACGAGGAAATGGATAAAATGACAAAACAGTTTCAACTTCATCATATTAACCATCCAGGCATGTCGAAGTATGAATCATTGTAACTAAAGATCGGCTGAAGAATGAGAAATTTTGCAACGATTTACTTCCCGCCCACTCAATAATAAACCATAGCAATGAACATAACCATCCCGATGTTAAGCCGTACTTAAAACGATGCCAACACATCCTTCAACATATTTCTACAGAAACGCGGACATGTTGCAGTAGAAGAGATTGCTGGCGACTTGATCAACTTGTAGAAACTTCCCTGAATATGAGCAGCGAGCACAGACTATTCCAATATTGCATATTGATTTATCAATAATATGCAATATTGACATAAAACGATATCAACATCTTTCTGCAGAAATTCATGTCTTCGTGTTGCGGCAGTTTAGAAGATTGGCGACTTGAAATTGCGATTTCAAACTTTTAAACTACCTTTTATCTTTCCTACTTTTGAATCGTATTTCAATTTAGAGGAATGAATGTTACGAAGAACATATTATATTTCTATAAATTACGGCCAATCCCAGCTTTCCTAGTGGCCAAGTGACACCAAGCTCAGTAAGTGTACTGGATAATTCTGGGGTTTACACTTCATCGTTATATTTATATAATTAAATATAGGAAAATGAAGACCTTATATTCTTCCGTAAGGACTGCGATCACCTTCACGTCGGATTACAGGTTGCATGCAATTTTTTTGTAAAGAAGACCACCTACCTACCACGATGGCATTTAATTATCTTGTCCGGGATCAGCCGGTACGGTATTTTGTTCAAAACCTAAAATCGGTTCAGCCATACTGTAAAAAAAGTCATACTGTAAAAAAGGCCAAATAATCCCCAAACAATACGACGGTATACTTTAAGTTAAGATTATCACAGTACTTGACTTTTAGTCTATAACCACTAAACGATTCCCTCTCAAGTACACACTATATTCAAAATAGCCTTTATATTCTTCCCCTGAAGACGACAGAAATAAAGCCGCAACCACCGTTTTATAGACATCGA